GCTTTGCCGCTGAGCTAAATCCCCAGCCCCTTCATGTGCTTATTGATGATTTAAAAATTCTTCTTTGGAGAAATCTCTATTCATTTCCTTTGGCCATTTTCAAAAAACAGGTTGTCCTTTATTGTTGAGTTGCAAGCATTCTTTATATATGCCGGGTATTAATCCTTTATCAGATACATGAAGTTTTCTTTTCTTGCAATGTCTTTTTCTGGTCTTAGAATTGGGGCAATGCTTTATAAAATGATTAAGAAGTGTTGTCTCATCTTCAGTTGTTTAAAATGGTTTGAAAAGGATTAGTGTTAATCCTTTTTATGTTTGATTGTTGCCAGGTGTGATGGCACATGCCTGTAATTCCAGCACTCGGGAAGACTGAGGCAGGAGGATCACTGAGAGTTCCAGGCCAGCCTGAGCTATATAGTGAATTCAAGGCTAGCTCTGGACTACGTAGTGAGACCCTGTCTCAAAACAAAACAAAACAAACAATGACTATTTGGTAGAATTCACCAGTGCAACCACCTAGTCCTGGGATTTTATTTTTGAGGAAGAGTTTAATTGTTGACTTAGTCTCCTAACATGTTATGTTTATTTGATTCTTTTACCTCTGTAGGCTTTTTTATTTGGAAACAGGATCTCATTATGTAGCCCAGGCTGTCCTTCAACTGAGGTCCTCTTGCCTCAGCCTTCTGAGTGCTAGGATTACAGAGGCATACCACTACTCCTGCTGTATATGAGTCTTTCCAGGAATTTTTTGTGGGAAGTTTTTTTTTTTCTTGATACAAGGTCTCACTACGTAGTTCAGGCTAGCCATGACCTCATTATGTAGCCCAGGCTAGCCTCTAATTCCCAGCAATCCTCCTGCCTCAGTCTCCCAAGTACTGGGATTACAGGTGTATACTACCATGCCAGCTTTCCTAGGAATTTTTAAAACTCTATCTGGATTACCCATTGTTGGCATATGGTTTTTCTTAGTATTATTTTCTATTTCTTTTTTTCCTGTAATGTCAGTAGTAATAGTCATTCTTTTTTTTTTTTTCTTTTTTTGCTGATGCTGGGGATGGAACCTAGAGCTAGGCAAACTCTACCTCTGAGCTACATTTACAGCGCCTCCTTACATTTTTCCTAGGCAGTCTGACTGTTTATCAATTTTGCTGATATTTTCAAAGAACTAACTTTTATTTTTGTTGTTTTGCTATTTACTGTTTGTTTATCTCCCATCCATCGTTATCACCTCCTTCCTTCTGCGCTCTGTGGGTTTAATGTGCTGGGTTTTTTTTTCTAGTTCTGTAGTGGGTCCTGTTATTGATTTTTTTTTTTTTTTTAGGTGTAGGTATTTACAGCTGTACACTTCTCTCTGAGGCTTGCCTTTACTGTGTCCCATTTGTTTTGGTGTATGTGTCA